GCTCAGTGGTATAAGCACCTCCCTGGCAGGCGCAAGGGCCTGAGTTTGATCCCCAGTTCTGCCAAAGGGGAGGGGAGACTATAGGGAAGAAATAAAATGGTGGAGTGGTAATTGGTAGCAAAATCCAGCTTCTGCAAGATTAAGAACCCAGACACTGAAAGTGACAACTTGTCAAAGAAAAAAGAGAAGCAGATCACCAGGACTTGGGAAGGAACTGACAGGAAAGATTAGCAGCTTGTGGAGAACAGTACTGGGCTCCCAGAAGCAAGGTGAGCACTTTGTTTAAATTGGGGACTTAGAACAACTAAACACCAACTTCATACCCGGGCTCCCAGGGTTACCTTCCCACAGTGACTGGGTGAGAGATGGCCATGGGAGATAGCCATGGACAGAGAGTGGGCTAGAAAGTGACACCCTGAGAAGTTTAAACTCAGGTCAGAAAGAACATGGGCTCTAGGGCTGATGAGATAGCTCAGTGGACTAAGCGCCTGCTTAGGCAAGAACAGAGATCTGGGTTCGATCCCCAGCCCCACTCCCAGGTCTCCTGAGCTGGCCACTGAGACCTGGCATCGTAGCAATGCCTATAATTCCAGCACTGGGGAGACTGAAAACAGGAGGGTCACTATGAGTCAGAGGTATGTAGTGTGACCCTGTACCAACTACTAAAAAAAAAAAAAGAAAAAGAACATGGGCTCTAACCCTTGCAGTAAGAAGTTAAGTCCAGCTGAGTTGTGCTTAGAAACAGCTGGGTCTGAAAGTTCCTGGTACAGTTAAGCACTTGAACCCTTGCCCTGCTGCCCACACCCAGCACAGACCTGGGATCTGATTGACTTCACTGTCCACCAGTGTGAGCTAGGACACCCCCACAGGTGGACCCTGCCACAGCCTGGGTTAAACAGAGAGGCCTACGTGTCAGGGCAGGCACATCACAAACTCACAGACTACAAGGCTAGGTAGAGAAAACCAAGACCAGCTGGCTTCAAAACTACAGGTCCTAGAAGGAAACCTTCATTCAAAAAATACAGAGAAAAAACAGATTATTCTTGAAGTCATTTCTTATTTTTCTTACTCCTTTTTTCTCCTTTTTTTAAAATATATTTTTATTTTCCATATTATTTTTTTGTCTCCCATTTTTTTCTTTTATCTTTTCTCTCTCTCTCTCTCTCTCTCTCTCTCTCTCTCTCTCTCTCTCTCTCTCTCTCTTTCTTCCCCACCTAGCTTCCCCTTCCCTTTATAAGAACCCATGTGATGATCTGGATACTCCCCATTAAAGGATCCATAACTCACAAGGCATGATGGGGTATGCCCACAGTCTGAGCACTTGGGAGCCTGGGGCAAGAGGACCACAGGTTGCAGGCCTATGTGAGCCATATAGCAAATCTCTGACTTAAAAAAAATATCCGTAACTTTGAGACTGCAAAGTGTCTTGCCACATCATGTAGTATCACAGCTCTGGGATTTGGACAAGGGTGTCTCCGAGGGTAAGGAGGTCTCCAATTCTGCCTCCTACCTATCAATGCTATACTTGCTTCACAAGAGTTTGGAAGCTTACTTCGATTTTTCTATGTTCTAGAATAGTTTTCCAACATCAGGATGCTGGAGGTTTGGTGCAGTTCTCCCATGACACTATATGGGCCTGCTGTTCCTGTGTGGTTAAGTAAACCCCACTCCTCCATCTCTGCCACAGAAATGGTTCTGTTTAAGCTTTCTATCTTTATTGGGTCGATTCCAAAGAAGCTCTTTAGCTGAGCAGTTACCTAAGTAGTTATATGTCTAAGATATCTAAGTAGTTATATGTCAGCTGTGTGCCGAGCCCCGCACACCTGCATCAGCATCCTCCTCTCCAGCTTCTGCCCACACCTGCTACACAGAGAAAGGCACCTGGCAGCCCTTGCTCCACCCTTCTGAGAGTGGGAAGTGCTTGAGGCAGCTCTTCTTGCCCTTCTCTCCCAGCTATGGACAGCAAGTGTTTCACTTCCCAGTCCAGCTCCCTACTGAAGGATGTTGTGCAGCATGACATGTCCATCTATTTATTTTTGATTTATGTATTTGGTACAGGGTCTTGCTATGCAGCTCAGACTCATAGTGATGCTCCTGTTTTCAGCCTCCCCAACAATGGCATTACAGGCATGTGCCACCATGCCTGGACTCAGTGGCTGGCACAGCAATGTGTACCAAGGATTGAACCAGGGTCCTTGTGCTTGCCAGGCAGGCACTTAGACTGCTGAGCTATCTCCCTGGCCCAACACATCTATTTAATGTAGAATCTCTTTGCCCACTGTTGCACACTCTGGGCTGCTGAAGAATGTGTCCTTTTATCTGAAGAACTGTAACTCAATAGTCAATGTTGTTTGCAACCTCTCTTGGGATCCTTCAGTATTTTGGACATTTGCATCCGCCACTGGGTAGGCGAAGCCCAGTGCAGCAGGGCTATCCCTGAGGGCCCCTTAGAGCCCCGTGGATCTAGCAGAGAATAGTGGCCAGCTAGGAAGGAGGTCCATGCCCAAGGAAGTCACCCCATAATGGTCTCAGTCTTTGCTTCTCTCATTGGCAGATGGAGCAGTCCTTGGTGGCTTTCTGTGCCTTGTAGGGTGCAAGAAGAGTTCTGTACTCTGGCCACCTCTGCCTTCCGGGGCCTGTACCTCGTCCACTCATTTCATGGATGTACATGGCCACCATGAGGGGGGCACCAAAGGCCCACTGGTGGTTCCAATAATAGAATTTATTTTAATCTATTTGCTGTGTCAGAGTGGTTGACCCTTGTGTTTCTTTTTTCATATTCTACCATTTGTTCTTTATAACAGTGCTTGCTCTTTTTTCTTTTGGGCTTTGGTCAGGACTTTCTTTTGGTCCATCGGGTTGCCTCAGTGCTTATACCTTTTTAAGCCCTGGTCTCTGTTTTCTCATTTAACTGTACTTTTTCATCAGCCATGTCTAGCGGGATCATTTGAGTACCAATGCCCACCTGAACCATACCCAGTGGGCTCATTCTCTTCCATCTATTCTACTTCTCCTTCCATCTAGCTGCAGTGTTTCTCCCTTGTCCTCCACAATGATTACAGTATTTTTCTCATGCTTCCCCTACATGTTTCTCCTATATTAAGTGCTCACCATCAATCCTTTTGCTGACCTTTCGCCAGTGCTTCCTTGATGGAACAAACCTCAAACAAACAAATCCTGTAGAGAATCACTCCAGAAGAGCGAATGGGCAGTGTCCCCTGCATTCTGCATGTTTCCCACTATCTCCCTGTCACTTTGGTATTTCAAGGACAGATACTTTACTTCTGTCTTTAGGGACATATGCTTGAGATACACAGTAAGTGTGTTCATGTCAAGGGAGGGATCCATATGCTCAACTCGTCCTGACCATTTCCTTGCCCCCCTCCACACTCCCTTCACCCTCAGGTCCCCTTCCCACTTCCAGAGTCTGCCATCTCATTCTTATTTTGCTCATTCAGCTATTGATATTTTAGGTTTCTCATAAGAGAGAAGCCATGCAATATTTAACCTCCTGTGTCTCTTAATTTTACGTCTAATTTCTAACCTAACACAGTGCTTGTGCCCTCTGATGTTTGATAAATCACATCTGCTTTACTCAGCCCTGATGTGTTATAGTGTTCTTTATGGTTTATGATTTATTTAGGCAGAAAAGTTTTTGTGAGATTGATTTTCAAGAAAAATTCTCGTATTCTATTTTCTGTTATTTTTTGTGAATCGAAACTGCTTTCATTTCATGGATTGGAATACTTACAAGATCTCTAGTCAAAGAAGGCTCTTGTCTATAACAGTGTAGTTGCTCTTTACTGTTTACTTGGGGTGGAAGTAGTGAAGTCATGAGTCCTCTCATTTCTGCCCTCCAGCCCCAAAGACACCTCTGCCCTGCTTTGTGCCCTTTTTTTCTGAAGCAGTATCCTGAAAAGCCAGCCACCTGCGCCCCTCTACACTCCAGGTCCCCCACCCCACCACCCCCCATCAGTGCAGTCACTCCAGGGGTTCAGACAGGAAGTTATACCTGAAGCTTACATTCTTTCCAGCGATGGCTTGAAAGCAATCTTTGTTTGGCTCCTTCCTCCTTTCTCTTTTTCAAACTGGCTTCCCAGGGCCCATGTCCAGAGTGCAACATATGCCCCTGCAGGGACTTGGTGCTCCCTTACATTTTATTTACAGGTGATCTAAAAGTGGTAGGACTCGCTGTTCTAATTACACAGAAGGTATGGATCTTGCAGTTTTGCTATCTGTCCTGGCTGCTCTATATTGCGTTGTGGGCACTGCACCACACTGATCTAATTTGCCTCTTTCTAAAAGGTTCTTGGCACACAAGAAAAAGAGTTGCTTTCTTCGGAACATCAGTCATCCTGGTGGTGGCTGTAGCTCTGGGGGGAAAAAGGCTCTGTGTTCTTTGCACAGATGAAGATTACTCAAATGTTGATTTACTGCAGCATGGGTTTATCTAGAATATAGAACTTCTAGGACAAAAAAAAAAAAATCTAAGCATTTGAGGCACATACTTGCATTCATTGTTTTTATGCTGAGTGCCAGAGAATATATAATAAAAATTACAATGTTACTCTAAACATTGCTGATTACACTAAAATGCTTTGAAATCCATTGATCACCCAGCAACCCTCCAGTTAATACTGGTTTTGTCACAACTATTTCTGCATTTGGCAGATGAGGGTCCAAGACTCACTGTTACACTCTCCTGATTACTGAATGACAGGACTGCACCCCAAATCCCTGGGTGGGTGGGACAGTACCACTTCCGAGACCAGATGTGTTTGCACATAGAAGTTTTCCCTTACATGATTTTTAGAAAGTTTTTTATTGTCAATCAATCACCTTTGTATTCTAACGTCACAGTTTAATAACAGATTGCTGGGCAGAAATACTTTTGAGTGTGACAGTTTGAATTGATTTGTTCTGTAAAACCAGCATAAGTTGCTTAGAGTTGGGTGAGAAACATCTCTGCCCTAATGTGCCCCTTTTCTTTCTCCTCACAGAGGACAGCTATGGGATGGATGGGAAGGTTAGTCTGTCCAGACTGCTACAGACACCAACTGGCAAGGCCTGCCAGTTAGACAGCATGAATGCAAGCGGCTCTACGTGCAGGCACAACCATGGACTTAGTCTGTTTGACTGGACTCATTACTTGAAGGATGTAGATAGAGTATTTGCACTGCTGAACAGTCACTCTGAGCAAAAGCAAGCAAGAAAGACTGAGCCTGCTCAGAGTGATGGGCCCCTGGTTGTCTCTGCGGAGCACGCAGTGCCAGTGGACATGCCCTCCGCAGAGTCAGATGGAGCCCCAAGTCAGACAGGCAGGGAAGCTCTTCATTGGACCTTGCCAGCTGACCCTGGACCCCTTCTTTTGAACCGACCAACATGACGTCCAGAGAATACACTTGAACGGGACAATGACATTCCAGAAGTGAATCATCTGAATTCTGAACACTGGAGAAATGGTAAAACTGAGAAACGGACGGGGCAGGAAGAGATCGATCGCACTGAAGGCAGCTTCAGTGGTAGTGGCATAACAGCTGGGGCTCCAGCCCCGCCCCCGGCTGCAGCCCACTGACAACCATCAGAAAGAGCCTCCCCGGGCTGGTGGTCCCGGAGAGGATGTCTTTGAAGATGAGCTGTGTCTTCCCGTGCATTCTGATGGAAGCTTCCTCCATCGGATGCTCAGCGCATTCCAGCCGAGTGGAGAGGATGGAGGATGTCTACCAAGGTAGAGCAGAGCAACCCAAGGAGTGCTTGAGGCGTGCAGAAGGCCGTGCCTCCCCCACTCTCCTCTGATTAGATGAAGCTGTTACCTTATCCTAAACACAGTATTTCTCTTTAACTTTGTATTAGCAAACTAAGAACAGCGATCCTCCTGGCTACCAGCATTCCGGGCTGCTGTGGGTCCATTCATGCAGCACGTGCCATGTGGGCAGGTGGTGGGTGCCCAGCAACGCGTCCTCGTAACTCACTGTTCAAAAGAACAAAGAGAATGGTTGGGCTTTCTTTCTGTTTTGTTTTTGAGACTAAAACAGTATTAATCTTTTGGACATTGCAGGGGCATGCATATGGAGATGTTATCCAGTCAAAAATGGCTCGAATTGTGCCTTTCTTGGTTTCTAAAACTTGACAGCCTTGGTGAGCTTGTCAGCACGCTTTGACTGCCTGCATAATGACGTTCGGATTCATTTTTAACCACTGGAATTTTTCAATGTCATCATTTCTGGTTCAGTGATTTTGCACCTTGAGATTGGCATGCCATGTCTATTTGTTTAACATTCTTATTATATTATTGTTATTAACAGGCTTATCACGGTCACACTGTTTGCTTTCAGTGTGACAAAGTAAAATAGACCCCTAAGGATGACACACAGTATGGAGCACATATTGTTTAACACGCACTTTTGCCGGAACATATTGCATGTGTTTTACCTTGACTTGCTAAGATTGATTAGCAGAAAGGCATGGCTAATAATGTTGGTGGTAAAAATAAATAAAAAGTCACACAAATAAGACAAACATTGCCTGCTATCTCTGTGCCTAGCCTCAAGTTGTTCACCTATGCTTACGATTGCAAAATTTCAAGTATTTTCATGACAGAAGAAAAATCTTGTGCTTTCACAATTATTTTGTTTTCTTGGCCTGATTAATAAGCTTAAGTGTTGAGAAAATATGTGTAGTTTTAAATTTATATGAGGAACTTTTTCAATTAACTGAAATCGTGAATATTCCATAATTTAAACATGTCATAAAGGAGATTAATTTTGTAACATTGGTGTATGAATATTTTAGGACTTTCTCCAAGTTGAGCTTTTAAAGACATAGTTCAAAATTGCTGTTAAAATCTATTCTTGCCAATATTCTGGTTTTGTATTAGATTTTTCAATACCAGCAAAAGGATTACCTCATTGAAAATCAGCAGTACCCAGTTCAATTTCTCGAGAATTTTTGTTTCTCTTAACAGTGGTTTTATTTTTAGAAACTCAAACATTTAGATAAGTTATGTTATCATTAACTGTTTAAGATAAACTCTTTTAAAGAAAATTTAATATGTTATAGTTGTACCTTTGGTTACTCTTAAGTCTTCTATCATAGACTGTGTACATATGTTAAAATTGGCATTTATCAGATGTGTGTGTCATTGGCTGAATGACAGAATAAACATATTTATGGTCATGAATGATGTGCTTTGTAAAAAGATTTCAAGATATTAGGACATATACTGTGTTTTTAATCCTGTATAATACTCTGTGATACTTTTATAGAACAATTCTGGCTTCAGGAAAGCCTAGAAGCAATATTTCTTGAAATAAAGGGTGTTTAAAACATACCTGTTTTGGAGACGTGAACTTAGCCATTCTGTCGCACACGCGTTCCTCCTGATCTTGACTGACGTGACTGCTCCTGGCCACACGTGTAAGGCTGCCCCGGAGTCTGCACTTGTGGAACTCTCCAGGTGTGACTTCAGCATGGGTATGTGTCACTGCCATCCCGGAAGCCTCAGCAGAGGCAGCCCCAGGGGCTTCCTGGACGTCCAACTGGCACAGACTGAAGTTTTGAAAAAGGGGCCTGTCTCAGTTACTCTTCCCTCGATGCTGGGACAAATACCCGACATCCAAAATGAAGGAAGGAAGGGTTTATTTAGCTCACGGTTATTGGAGGTTTCAGTCTATACTCAGCTGGCTCCGGGGCAGAGTGGCACATGGCAGAGGGCAGCAGTTCGTGGCGGCAGAAAGCAACAAAACAGCAAGAGCAAAAGGGAGGAGTAAGAGCACTAATGGCTGCAGAGAGGAAGCCTGTCTCCCTTAAGTTGCATGCAGGCTATCCACCCCAGGGCGGGTATAGCACTCACACCCGTAATCCCAGCAGCACTCACACCCATAATCCCAGTGGATCATGAGTTAATCACAAACTGCTCCATGACTGCATGAGGCTTTGGGGGGACAAATACACACAAACCACAACAGGGCCTTTCGTTGACCTTTTCCACCAGGCCCTGCAAAGATATCATCCATCAAAAGCAGTTTGGAGACCATAATTTTGATATAAGTAGAAACCAAATACTTCTCCAAGACCCACATTTTCTGACTGACAAACACCATTTGCTGCTTTCTCTGCCATTTGACCCAAATGCCCCGATGTTAGAAGGTTAAAAAAAAAAAAAGAGAAAAAAGTTTTTTTTAAACTATTTATTTATTTTTAATTTTTTTAAACATTTATTTAGTGTGTGTGTGTGTGTGTGTGTGTGTGTGGCCAGCTCAGCCCATCAGGGGGCGCGGCTGGCATGTGGTGCTGGGGGATCGAACCGCGGTCCCTGTGCTTTGCCAAGCTTGTTCCAAGTAGGTGCTTTAGACCACTGAGCCATCTCTTCAGCCCCGAGAAAAGTTTTTTAAAACACAAAGGGTTCAAGGATTTTACAGTCAATCCTCATGACTGGAAAAACTAGTTTCATCAAAAGAATAGAGCTAGCAATAACAGTGTGTCCAAAGACCAGACTCTGTCCCTTGCTACAAAACCAATGGGTGCATATATAGCTCCATATCTGTGGCAGTCGGAGTGACTTTCCGTCCACGCGCCTTTCCGTACAGGGTGCTGCACACCCTGGTCAGATCCGCCGGCCCCTGCACCTGCCCCCGCCGCCCAGCAGCCACATCCTGCTCTCATGTCGGCTTTGCTTTAGTCTCCGCACAGGAAAGACTGTTAAGCTTCTCGATCCTTTAATATAAAACGTGACTAGGCCAAATGTCGCTCTACTGGGTCTGCCGGAGTCCTATCTCGTTAACTTTCACGCTCCGCCTACCCCGTGAAAGCGGCCTGAGAGACGCTGTCTCCCGGTTTGTACTTCAGAGAGCATTTCAGAAAGGGCAAAACCCTGCTCACCAGCCCTGGAGTGATCCGGTGCCCGCAAAGCCCGGGCAGCCTCGACCGCGTCCCACCCTGCACTGGCCTAGAAGATGAAGGGAGAGTCAGCCCCTGCCACTCTCCCACTGAAACTTGGACGCACGCCTGCATGCACAAAAATACACACACACACCAGGACAGACAGAGGAGCTACAGCAAGGCCCCAACGGACGGGGTGCCCCATGTGGTAAAGACAACACTGGCCCTGTAAGAGCTCAGTTAACCTCAAAACCTTTTTTACTACCTGTGTGAGTTTAGGGAAGTTAAACATCTCTAAAACAACTTTATAGAGTTTATCAAAAATAACTATACAACAAGAGTTTTGGACTGAGAGTGGCAAATAAACAACACGAGTGCTTTCTTTTCTCAAAATGCACCAGCGCAGCCATCGGGACACTTTTCTACTGAACTCAAGCATCAGTGGCCTGGGAACCCCCAACTCAGGCTGGCTTCTCGAGGCAGCATCAGTGTGGTTGGCTCAGGACTGACATGGGGAGGACAGCCCACCGGCCACACCCCAACTAGTTCATCCCAGAGGGCCCTCCTGGCCTTCCTTTAAAATGTGTGTGTGTGGGGGGAGGTCCCAGGTGTAGCTCAGCAGCAGAGCTCTTGCTTGTCATGTGGGGACACTGGGGTCTATGCCCAAGACCCCCGCCTCCCACACACAAAAGCCCTGTAAGCACCAGCATCTGCAGGTTTTCTTGGTCAAAAAATAAGAATTTTTATTGCTCCTACTTCCCTAAACACTTTGGCTTTCTAAATTTAAAAGGTTGGCTTGAGTACTGGGCATTAGGTTCAGGGCCTTCCTTCCACGGGCTGGGAAACCGCTCTTTCTCTGAGCTACATGCACAGCACTTCTCTTTTGGGGTGAGGGGACAACGTAGGGTTAAATTGTCCAGGCTGCCCTTGAACTTTGATCTTTCTGCCTCATACTCATTCACCATGGTGCCCAACCTAAATTTAAAAGATTTTAGAATTATTTTTAGGTTTGTGCTTAAGATCATCAGTTCCCCAATTTGGTCCCATTCTGCTTGGTATTTCCAAAATTGATCTTACTAGAAAACGGATCTTTGGTCAATGATTAAGGTCCCCAGGGCCATCAGGTCCTCCACAGCGCCCGACCCTCTGACCTCTGCCAGCTCGCAGCACTCCCACGCTCCCTGCGGGTGCGTCTTGCTCTCATCGCCACCCCTAGGTCCCTGGGTCACCCGCTCACACCCCATGTGTCATCTGTCATGAATTCACTCCAGTCGCAGGTCTGCCCCTCCATCCTTTCTGTTTATCCCTCCGCTTCTGTCCCATCTCAGCCTGTAGAAACCCCATCCACCCGACAGTTCTCGTTACTGTTTCAAATTTTACCTTTTCACCGCTGGACTCCTCCACCCTGGATGTCTTCTCGTTCCGTTACACTTTTCCAAGTAGGAAAACGAATGTTGCCCCAGGTGTGGGGCCAGTGGAATAAGGACAGCTGGCCAAGCTCACTGCGGTCTTCTGAGACCCAGACACATTGAGTGAGGGTCCAAAGAGCAGGGCCAGGGGCTTCAGAACCAGACTCTGCCTGCTGATACGGGGGCCCCTGAAGACACACACCTGGGAATCACACGTGGGGAACGTGGGGCCTGCACACGTGGCGATCTTGTGTGCTGTGTGTTACCTCGCTCTTAGCTGGACAGTGGAAGCGGGGAGCAAACGCACCTCCTTCCTTCAGAACTTCCACCACCACCACCACCCCTCACGCAATGCCCCGCGCTAGCACGTTCCTGGGCCTCCGCACTCTGGGGTCCAGAATCTGAATACCCGCCCCCCCCCCGCGCCATTCCTCCCCCTTATAAGCCCAGCAGGGCAGGGATGCAGAGCTTGAGGGGACCCAGCGCAGCCTCAGTGGGTCTCAGTACCAGCAGAGAAGTCCTGGTTCTTTCTCCTTTAGGATGAGTCCGCGCTGAGGCCAGGCGGAGCCCAGGAGCCCGCAGCGCGTGCTTCCGCTGTGGCCGCTAGGTGGCACTCGAGTGAAACGAAATCCGTCCTAGCTGGGAGCCCGCAGAAAGCAACCGTTCATGGCGACTTCTGAAGTGGCGCTACTGAGTGTCACCACTTGACAAGAACGCATCTAGAACAACTTGGTCCACGGCAGGCTGCAGTGCCTAGGACTTTAGCCATTCCGGTAGACAGAACACTTTTAGCTTCCTGCTGATTTATGTTGGTATTACGAGTTGGAGCCACACCAAACTTTGACATTTAAATTTAAAAGTGAACACAGAATATTGATCTTCTTGCTTTCCAGTGACTTTGCGCAATTAAAAATGTTTTCTTGGCTCAAACACACTGCAGCCACAAGGGCCATCTCTGCCCAGCTGGCAATTTTAGAGAAAAGAAAGGGTCTGTATGTTTTTTCACAGCTCTTAAAACACTGAGGTTGAACCAAGTTTAGAGCCAAAATAAAGAAGCCTAAGTGTCGGCAGCGCACAACCTCTGTGCTCTGTTCTCAGCATGAGACATTCTCATGCCCAGTTTCCAAAAACCTTGTATCAAAATGCCTCTGCCCATACCCCAAAAGGGTAGAAAACTTAAATTCATGAGAAGTCCTTCTGACTAAACTATGTACACAACATAACTGAGGACACTGACCAGGGGTTAGTCTCTGGGCAGAAGACTCCTTTGATGAATACAGAAAACCAGGGGAGAAAATACAGTTTTACCAGAAGCTCAGCACACACACACACACACACACACACACACACACACACTCGTGCATCTTCGGCTACCCTGACTGACCCTGTATTTTCTGGGTGAGACTGGAAAGGAGATACAGACATCCACTGGCCTACTTTGCTGTCTGCCTGTGAAATGCCGAAGGTGGACTAAATATAACCCCTCTGTACTCGCCCATGAGTCACTGCTGTGATTTCCATGTCTCTTTTACCTCCTTCATCTCTCACCCAAAAGGAGGTGGTGCCAGTGTGTTTAGAAAACACTGCCTTCACTCAGCGAGCCGTCCAGATTCAGGGCTGTGAAGGAACGGAGGACACTGTGCTAAGTGGAACAAGTCAGGCACAGACCAATGCCGTGCGCTCCAGCCACACGTGGCAACCGAAAAAGCTAAGCTCAGTAACGGTAGAGTGGAATAGCGATCACCAGAGGCAGGAAGGGTTTTGAGGGTGGGAACAGGTACAGGGAACAGGCAGCTGGAACAGAAGACTGTTCCTTCCCTCGGGTCCTCCTCACATCCCCTCCACTCTCAGGACTAAACCCCGAGCCCATCCGTGCATAACAGGAGGAATAACCTCTAATGTTCTATAGCACAGTAGGCTAAGTTAATTGTATGTTTCAGAAAACTGGTAGAGAGGATTTTGAGTGTTCTTGATATAAAAAAGACAAATGTTTGAGGCCATAGATGAGCTAATTACTCTGATCTCATCATTGTACATTGTACACAAGCATTAAATGGCACGCTGGACCTCTAGATGTGTACAGATGCACATACATATGCATGCACTTGTGTATATATACTCATATACATATACGTACATACATATGTGCATGTGCTACATATACATATACTTTTTTTAAACTCTAATGCATTTTTCTGCCCAGGTGGGGTGAAAGCCCAGATTCTTGCTCCTGGCTCAGCACACTGGCTTCTGGGCCATTTTAGCAACCAACAGTTAGCTTGTCACTCTAGAGGTAGGAGGGAGCAGGCTTTCAATTCATTTGTTAACCCATTCATTTGTTGACTTTGGGGTGTGTGTGTGTGCAGAAGATTTTTTTCTTGATTTACCAGGCTTTTGTGTAATGATTTGGACTCCTGTGGAAATCATTCTTAACCCATCACAGTCAACCACACGCCATTTGTTCTGCTTTATTCTCAGGACCCCAGCAGTGAGACAAACCATGGAGTGCTGACCAATGGAAAGAGAGCAAAACTACCTGCAGGCCAAGAAAGAGAGACGCCCTCGGCCACTTTCTGACCCTTCCTTTCTCTCTCAGAACTCTGGGTCCCTGCGGGACTGTGTGGAACAGAACCCCAGTGAACACATCCATGAGTGAGGAGGACCTGTGTGCTCTGAATCCAGAGGTCAGGGGGTGGGTTACCCAAGCATAACCGAACAAACATATTCAAGGGACACAGTTCTGCAATCTGAAATTGTATCCTGAATTTTAATAATGAGCAACTTAATATTTTTTGTCCATTAAGAATGGGCTATAGTGCCAAGGATATAGCTCAGTGGCACATTGCCTGCCTCACAAGTGCAAGGTCCTAAGTTTGATTCCTGATACTAAAAACAAGAATCCGATAGGCTCTAAAAATTATAATCCTAAAATTTACCACTGAACATCTGGCTTCAAGACAAACTTACCAGTCAAGCAAGGAGTTAATTTTGAGGGACACGTGGGAAATCCCACCTTCATTGCTTTTTCTCTCTCCAAGCAATAAAAATCCAGAGACAGACTAATTTCAATGCCACACTTTATTCATTTTTTAAAATTCTTTTTCCTTAATACTCAATGATCAAGTATTCAAGATATTGTAAACCAAGGTATCTCAGTACATTGACAATCAGTGTCATTGAACACAAGGAAGGCGTGCATCTTTTAAATTAACCCAAACAGGTCTCCAAATAAATATTCATCTTAAAATCACAAAATCAAACTCCTTTATGTAACAACTCAGAACAGCCCTTTGTCACAAGCAAACCTCTACAGAGGAAGACACCCGCACACTGAGCACACACGCCCCTGGGGCCCTACTACGAGCTCTGTGACACGGCATTACGTTTCCTTAAGCTAGATGTCAAGAGGCTGGCGTTCCAGCTCCGTGCTGCGGCCCCAGCATCTGGAGCTTGGGGGAGAGGTATATCTATTTTAAGAAAAATGCCCACTGCCAAATGTTACCAATTATTCCTACTTTTCAATTCTGCATACAAACTTTAAGCTTTTTTATTCACCCCTTTGGTTTAATGTGTCCTTAAAACTAGTTTTCAGTGACATTTTCTCTTTAAATTTTGACCTATATAATAGACTACCAAAAAAAGACAACACCTTTAAAACCTCATTGCTGAAAACACTTCACATGGGTGTACCTTTTTTGGAGAAAGAAAGAAAGAAAGAAAGAAAGAAAGAAAGAAAGAAAGAAAGAAAGAAAGAAAGAAAGAA